ACCCCCCACCCCCAGCAGCAACAACGGCAACTTGAAAAAAACACAACAAAATACAAAGCAAAACAAAAACAAACAATTCCAGTGAAAAGGCTTTAGAACATTGGGTAGCGGACGGAAAAATATGTTGATCAAAGCAAGTAAGAAACAAAACATATTGAATTTCCTTATCGCTTAACCTTTTCTTTTATGTCACGGCCAGCTCGACTTTTCCAGGACAGACAGGAAAGTAATAGGAAGCAGCAATAAAAAGTCATCAATTTCGCTATTTGTCCTCAATTTTCCAAGAGTTCAAATGGATTCTCTGGTTTTCACTGCTCATCTCTGTCCAGCCTTTACCATCTGAACGAGGAAGTGGCTTTTTTAAAACCACCCCACCCCCCTCCCAACCTCGCGCCCTTTCCTTACATCAGCGTTCATACAGGACTCTTGTTAATTCCCTTAATTCCGATGTAGTTCTTATTTTTGTTATTGAAAACATTTAAAGTTTACTTTTTTGTAAGATTGGGTACTCCTGCATATTACGGCTTGCTCTGAAAATAACGAAACACAACTTAGTGTTAATTTTATTTTTGCCAACTCATGCAAGTCGCGTGGTGGGCAGTTTTCTGATTTATGGTTTTGATGGAGGGAGATGCCTGCCATCTTCTTAAACAATCATAGCCGACATATTTGTCTGTTCGTTTAGAGTATACATTTATTAAGCCATAGTACAGAGCTTACAAATGTCTGAGAAAACAGTTCTCAGAAAATAAGCCCTCAAAAAGCAAAACGCCCTTAACTTAAAAAAAAACACCCAGATGAATCGGTCGAAACAAAGTACTGAGCTAATGATTGCTGTCACTCATACAAAACAATCTCTATTACAATGTCCATAGGTATTTTTCCTTGTAGATTTTTTCTTTTCTTTTATGCTAGTTAATTAATTCCAAAGTCTCCGTCTTCAAATAAAACCTTCTTTCTGTTCTTTCATACACGAGTAAGTTTCTGGCTTGAAGAAATATCTAGGAACAAAAATGTCCCCGGGGATTTTCCTGTCTGTCTGGCGATTAAACACTTTAAAGATTTACATTTTCTTTGTTAAATGCTTTTTTGAACAGCGGTCTTCGTATGCAAGCCATTAACTGTTTTTTTGGGTTTATTTCTTTTTCTGATTAGAATCAATCAGAACCTCAGTTGCCATTATATCGATATATCGCGTAAACCCTTAGTCTTACCCTAGGGTGTATTTTTTCACTGGTCTGTATTATAAGCAAATAAGGGAAAGTGAAAGAGAAACAGGCATATTTATTGGTCGATAGAAGGGTCGATCGATGCATACATGCATATGCACTTATATATATATATATACATACAGACAAAGAAAGGGGAGAAAGAGAGAAAGAACGAGAGAGAGAGAGAGA